CCAGCCCCGCCCACCCGCCTGGCCCCGCCCACCCGGCCCTGCCCACTGCCCCAGCTCACCTGGTCCGCCTGCTGCTGCCCCCGGGCCCGCTCCAGCCTGAGCAGGGCCACCTGCTCCTCCAGCTGCTCCTGCCGCTGCTCCAGGTGCTCACAGGCTTCCCGGAGTCCGCTCCGCTCGGCCTCCGCTCGCTCCAGCTGCTGCTCCCTCCGTACCAGCTGCTCCCTGATGCCCACGAGCTCCTGCTCAGCCGCCCTCTGCTGCCGGCGGAGCTGGTCCCGCTCCTGCTCCAGCTGCCCGGCCGTGCAGGGGTCTGTGGTCAGCCCCCGTGCGGACGCACCGCTCCACCCAGCCTCGCCATCCCCACCCGGGCCCGCACCTGCTCTCAGCCACAGAAACACCTGGAGGGCTGGGTGAGGGCGCACAGAGCCCCTCCCCCTGCCCCGCCGGCCCCACCTGGAGAACTCGGTGGGTCAGGGTGCCTTTGTCCTGGGCCAGACCCTCCATCAGGGCGGCCATGCTGGCCAGAGAGTCCCGCTGCTCCTGTCCCTCCAACTTCAGACGCGTCACCAGCCGCTCCAGGTCAGCGTTGCTGGACTCGGCCTGGTGGGGAGGGGGGGGAGCTGTTACTCCAGGGAAGGCTTTCAGATTCCCCAGCCAGATCAGAGCTCCCGCCAGAAGGAGGGGAAGCAGGTGTGGCCGGCAAGGTGGAGAAAATCACAAGGCCGGACCCTACCAACCAGGGACTCTGGGAGTCCAGGCAGTCAAGGAGAGAGGGTGTGTGGTCAGGCACCCCGGAGCAGCGCCTACCCGGGCAAGGGCTCCACGCAGGCTCTCTCTCTCCCTCTCCAGCAGGTCCCTCTGCAGATGTGCTGTGCTCAGAGCCTCCTTGGCCTTTGCCAGCTGCTTCCTCAGCCCAGAGGCCTTCTCCTCCAGCTGCTCCAGGCGTCCCTGACTGAGGCCCGAGGCAGAGGCTGAGCAGGAAGGCAAGCCACCCTACGCCCTCCCTCCAAAGGGACCTCTGGGTGAAGTGGCACACGCACCAGGGGAGGGAACCCCTCTGCGTGGCCCACAGTGCCACGGGAGCCGGCCGGGAGTGGTGAGGCCTGGTTGGGAGGAGCCGGCTAGCACATCACTCCTGCTGCCCAGGTGTTTCAGCCCACCTGGCGTCCAGGGCGCGCTGGCTGCTCGGGCCCTGCCGCGCCAGCCCCGCTCTCTGTTCTTCCCGCAGCTGCAGGCTGCAGCGCAGCTCTGCATTTGCTGCTTCCAGGCTCTGCTTCTCTGCCACACAGATGTCTGCCTTCGCTCTCAGCTCCTCTGCCACCAGCTCTAGGGCCACCTTCTCCCTAAGACAGGAGCCAGGATTGGGGCCAGGCACCTCCCAGGTGGGCCTGTGCCAGGAGGGGCCCAGCAGGCAGGGTAGATGCAGCCCTCCGTGGCCACAGAGGGGGCAGAAACGGGATGGGGGGTGGGGGCTGCGGACCAGCCGGACTGTGGGACTGTGGTCAACACCCTGCTGGCCAAGATGAGGTGGCCACAATCCCAGGCCTCTCAGGGCCACACAGCCCCAGAGCCATGACACCCATCGCCAGGACTCGGCATTGCAGTTGTCCCTCCCATCCGGTCCCCAGCGTCCCCAGCGTCCCAGTCCTGAGGCTCCATTTCCCCTGTGTCTCTGGGTGTGACATTCCGTGCCACAGGTGCATTATGCCCTCCCCACTGCTCCCTGTGGGTCCTGCTGCGTTCCTGCCTCCATGGCAGTCCCCATGCTCCCTGGGCCCTCTGCTCCTGGGTGTGGTGGGCAGCCCTGGCCTGTGGCCTGGCCCTACCTGGCTGGCTGGGTCTCACAGGCCTCTCATGAGCCCTGTACACGGCTCAGCTCCTGTCCCCTCCCCCTGTACACGGCTCAGCTCCTGTCCCCTCTCCCTGCACACGGCTCAGCTCCTGTCCCCTCCCCATCCCTTCTTGGCCCCCTGGGCAAGGCCCTTCTCTGTGTTGGCCTGCTTGCAGCTCTGTGACCAGGATCGGGCCTGACTTACACTCAGCCTTCCTGCCCAGCACCAAGCACACTTACAGGCTGCTCAGAGGGACCGCCATGTACAATGTCCCCTCTGTTGGACTAAATGCCCAGATGAGGGCTGAGTGCCCCAGGGCAGGGTAGCCTAGGCATGTGTGCTGCTGGTCTGGAGATGTGGCCTGGTTGCTGTCTGCTGCAAGGTCTTTCAGAGGCCTAATGGCAAGCTTGGCTCTGCCGGCGTGGCACTGCCCCCTGCCCTACGCTGTCAGGGGCAGCTGGCCTCCTTCACCTTCTCAGGAGTTCGGCGGATGCCTGGCAGTGCCGGGCCTCCTGCCGCTGGGTCTCCAGCTGGCCTAGGAGGTCCTCCCGCTCCTGTGTTCTGTCCTGAAGCAGCTTCTGGGAGGCCCAGAGCTCCCTCTGGGACTCAGATAGCTGCTCCTGGAGGCTGGCTGCTGCCATCTTGGAGGCCTCCAACTGATGGCACAGCTCCTGTCAGGAAGGGCCTATTGTGAGCCCCAGACCAGACAAGGCTCCCTGACTTAGGGTCCCAGATGGGACCCTAAGACGGGAGTCCACTCCCAAGGATGATAGGCTTGAGGGAGCCCCAGGGGAGAAGATCTGGAAGTCAATCGATTTACATAAGCAATAGACTGGACCTGAGGTGTGAGGGGGGGGGTTGCGGGGAGGGCTGTGTTCTCCAGGTATGGAGCTGTGTGGGGCTCTACCATCCAGGTATAGAGCTGTGTGGGGCTCCACCATCTGGCTATGGAGCTGTGTGGAGCTCTGTCATCTGGCTATGGAGCTGTGTGGGGCTCTATCATCAGGTATGGAGCTGTGTGGGGCTCTGTCATTGGGGTATGGAGCTGTGTGGGGCTCTGTCATCTGGGTATGGAGCTATGTGGGGCTCTATCATCAGGGTATGGAGCTATGTGGGGCTCTATAATCAGGTATGGAGCCGTGTGGGGCCCTATCATCAGGGTATGGAGCTGTGTGGGGCTCTATCATTGGGGTATGGAGCCGTGTGGGGCTCTGTCATTGGGGTATGGAGCCATGTGGGGCTCTATCATCGGGTATGGAACCGTGTGGGGCTCTGTCCCTGGAAAGTTTTGCTTCATGTGCTAACAAGCTGTGGTAACTTGCCTGTTCTCGCTGCTGCCTCCTCTCAATGGCTGTCCGCACGGCCTGCAGGGTGGGGTCCAGGCCAGCTGGAGAGTGGGCCTGGGGTGGGGATGCTGCTCGGTGGGGGGCTGTGGCTCGTGGGGGGCTCCTCCACTGTCCCCACACCTTCTCGCCCTCAGTGCTTCTGCTCCATGTTGGCTCAGAATACTTGAGGTCTGCCTGGGCCACCTTGAGAGAGCAGAGGGACAGAGGGGGAGACATAGACCCGCAAGTGATCTGGAACCTTCTAGACTTTCACTAGGGCCAGTTGGGCCAGGTCCCCACAGGTCGTCACAGCCTGTACCACCAGAGGGACACAGGGTGAGGCCGCACCTCTGCGATGCTGGCCAGTACGTGCTGTAGGGATGTGACCTCGTCCCTCAGGTCATCGGCCGCCAGCTGGGCCCGGTCACGCTGTGATTCCTGCAGGTGGAGACCCTCAGCCAAGCGGACAGACACCACCCGCTGCACCTCCTTCCTCCCGGCCTCACAAACCAGCTTGTGGATATCCATCTTGAGAGAGGCGGTGGTCCTCTCCTTCTGCTTGCTCTGCTCTGTGAGCTCCTCCACCAGCAACGTCTGCTCAGAGAGTCTGGGGAGTCGGGTGGGGGTGAGGCGGGCCCAGGGAGCTGTGGCTCAGGCTTTGTGGTCTGTGGTGCAGCCGCCCTTCACCGCGAGGGCCACTGCGAGGTCTCCATCCCGGGCCTCATTGCAGCCCCTCCTGTCAGGAGCCTTGTGGAGCACAGATCCCAGCGTGCTAGGCCTACATCCGACCTGACTCCATACAGCTCTACAGCCTCGCGGCCGGTGAGAATCAGGACTGAACACTACGCAGGACAGATGCAATGGCACCTGGGAGCCTGCAGCTGCTTTTGGACAGGACAGGGCGCTGGGTACACTTCCCTGTGGAACTGGCTGGAGCCTAGGGCCCACCCGGCCCTCAGCGCCCCCTCCCAGCCCCCCACCGGCCCTCAGCGCCCCCTCCCAGCCCCCCACCCGGCCCTCAGCGCCCCCTCCCAGCCCTCTACCTGGCCCGTAGTGCCGCCTTCTCGGCCTCCCAGCGGCCCTGCAGCTGCAGTGTGTCGCAGACCTGTTCCTGCAGCTGTTGCTCCAGGTCAGAGGCTGCACTGCTGGCTGCCAGCCGCAGGTTGGAGTCAAGGTTCAGGCAGGCTGTGTGCAGGCGCCGGGCAGTCCTGGCGGTATCTGCCCGCATGTCTGAGAGACCCCTGGGAGATAAGGGCAGGGCCTTCATGAGTGCTGGAATCAGGAGGCCCCACGCAGGGCAAGGAAAGGGAGGGCCAGGCCATCTCCAGAGCAGCCTCCACTGCGTGGTGCAGATGAAGTCACAGATGATGGTGGCGTGGCAGTGAAGGGCTGATGAGGGGCAGGCCAGTCCAGGCATCACAGCCTTGAGCCAGACATGGGCCTGCTGGGACTCTTCGACAGTAAACGGGGGTCACTCACCCTGACGGCAGCTACCATACCAGGGCAGTGTGCAGCCAGGGCAGCGTGGAGCAGGGCAGTGTGGAGCCAGGGCAGCGTGGAGCAGGGCAGTGTGGAGCCAGGGCAGTGTGCAGCCAGGGCAGCGTGGAGCAGGGCAGTGTGCAGCCAGGGCAGCGTGGAGCAGGGCAGTGTGGAGCAGGGCAGCGTGGAGCAGGGCAGCGTGGAGCAGGGCGTGTGGAGCAGGGCAGTGTGGAGCAGGGCAGCGTGGAGCAGGGCAGCGTGGAGCCAGGGCAGTGTGCAGCCAGGGCAGCGTGGAGCAGGGCAGTGTGGAGCAGGGCAGTGTGGAGCAGGGCAGCGTGGAGCAGGGCAGTGTGGAGCAGGGCAGTGTGGAGCAGGGCAGCGTGGAGCAGGGCAGCGTGGAGCAGGGCAGCGTGGAGCAGGGCAGCGTGGAGCAGG